TACATACATACATACATACATACATACATACATACATACATACATTACATACATACATACATACATACATACATACATACATACATACATACATACATACATACATACATACATACATACATACATACATACATTACATACATACCATACATTACATACAGTACATACATTACATACATACATACATACATACATACATACATACATACATACATACATACATACATTACATACCTTACCTACATTACATACATTACAAACATTACATACATTACATACATTACATACATTACATACATTACATACATTACATACATTACATACATTACATACATTACATACATTACATACATTACATTACATTACATTACATTGCATTACATTACATTACAGTACATTACATTAACATTACATTAACATTACATTAACATTACATGAATATTACATGAATATTACATGAATATTACATTACATTACATTACATTACATTACATTACATTACATTACATTACATTACATTACATTACATTACATACATACATACATACATACCATACATACATTACATTACATACATTACATACATTACATACATTACATACATTACATACATTACATACATTACATACATTACATACATTACATACATTACATACATTACATACATTACATACATTACATTACATTACATTACATTACATTACATTACATTACATTACATTACATTACATACATACATACATGCATGCATGCTTGCATACATGCATGCATGCTTACTTGCTTGCTTGCTTGCTTGCTTGCAATGCATACCTACATACATACAAACACACACATACATACACACATACACGCATACATACTACATACGTACATGCACACACACTCATACGTACGTACATACATGCATTGCGCTACGCTTTGCTACGTTACGTGACATTACATTACATTTAGTTACATTCAAAAATACATAAATTACGCAGCCGGCCACGCATTCATTTGTCCAGCCCTGAACCTGAACCTGCAGATAAACAAGAATAGAAACAAATTACATAATGCTATGATATGTTGTACTGTATACTATGCTGCATTGTATATCATATATGCTGTTGTATAAACTTTGGGGGCGGGGGGCGTCGTTTTTTGAGGGCGCCGCCTTTTTGGGAGAACAGGGAAACCGAAAGCCACGTTGCCACGGAGTCACGGAGATTCCCATCAAAGAAACCCAACGGCGAGCTTCAGGCTCTGAAGGGGATGGCCCGCGCTCGACAGCCGAGAACCTTCACAGTGGGGACAGGCGGAGAAGCCGGGGAGAAATTGGAGAAAGGTCACAAGAAGCTCAGCTCAGGAACAAATTCTGATTTTGGCTCTCAGTTCTTCATTCCATCTCACTCGCTTGGTACAGTGAGACTTCCAGGTTCGCTAGGCCTCCAGCGCACATCCAGGACTGCGAAAGCCCAAACCAGGTTCGCCAGATTCTGTCAGATCACTGAATCAAGCGCAATGCCGACAAACGGGTGTCTTTTTTGAGCGTCCCCTTGTGAGGTTGGTTCAAAGAAAAACCAGAAGGACACTACCAACTTTGGCGGTTCCCCTATTTGGAGACCATTCCAAACATGCTATGTGCACTCAGATTTCATGGATACAGCCTCAAAGATTCTGAGTTCTCTTAACGCCACTCGGCGCCCAACCGCAACCCAAGCCCCTTCGCCCCTCCTGCGCGGTGAAGGTCCTCATCTTTCTGGCAGCTTCCACAGCGATGCCATCCTACGGCCAAATCTGGGAGCTAGCAACTTGCCAAGTTGGTCGGAAGCTGGCAACCCGCCTCCGGAACTGTTTGGGAACCGCAGAACTTGGGAACCCTCGCACCGAATCACTGCGGCCCCAAAGCTTCAGCTGGGAAACAAAAGGTGTGGTCGAAAGTCGGGAATGGTGTCTCCTCCATTCTGTCAAAACAAACTGGAACCCACCCACCCCGAGAAGGAATAAAAACGGCGTTGTCCCTTCTGGCTTCCCTTTGACCCAGCTCCCGCACCAAGCCCCAAAAGTAAAGAGCCGCAAGCCCGGTCCAGCAGGGCACTCCGGACGCCCAAGGTGGCGCAGGCCCACGCCACAATGGACAGGTGCTGAGGCGCGAGACGGCGTGAGACGGCGCGGAGGGGGGGGAACTGCGGCAGATGTCGCAGGTCTTGGGATAGACATGGCCGGCGCCTCTGAACAATCCAGTGTCGAATTTGAGGGCATGCCATTGCAAGAGAAACCCCAAAGACAAAACACAGCGGCATACCATAGAGCCCTGGCTGGAGCTCCGCGAAACAAAGAGAGTGGTTTAATGGCCCAGCCTTGGAAGTGGTGAGGGGGGGGGGTTCCCAAATCAAGCTGCTTCCCCAAAACAAATGGACACTCGATTGAATCAACCAGGGGTTTATTCATTCATGTCACCTTCGGATGCATCCAGAGGACCATCCAAATCAGGCTTCAGACTGGGAATTGAACAACTTTAGAGAGACTCTTCAAAGCACCACATTGGTGCTACTGGTACCTTAATCGCGAAACGGTGCATCCTTTACGCCGCATAAGGATTAGTGCCAAAATGGGAGGATTGCCCAGCTCCACTGGGCAGCTCCCCTCAGCAGCTGATGGGAGTAGAATTGATGCCACTCCCACAGCGAGGGAGGAATCCTCCCACCTCACCGGATGCCCTCCCGGCATCATGGGTGAGGAAGGAAAGTAGCGAAGATCAGCTTGATCAATTCGCTTTCGACTGAGGGGAAGACCCGGTTCTCAGTCGGAAATTGCGGGTCCGGATGAGTAAGTTCATCCGCCCATGTGTTAAAGTCGCGCTTCACATGCGACGGTCCTAACATGACCTGGTGGTCATGCAGTGTTAACACAATTTCCATGAGGATGGCCGCATTGGGCATCCTGCGAGTGGAATCGTTAAGCAGGGAGAAAACGTTTCCCTGGTTATCACTAGCAACCAGAATCCTAGTGTGAGAAGCCGAGCCGGCTGCACAAAGCAGAACAGCCCTCACCAAAAGGAGGAGGCCGAAGAGCTCCAAGGCCGCTATCGCCCGCTGCGGGTCCCCAGTAGTGAAGGCCCACGGCTCGCCCTCCGGTGTGATTCTGTGTTGGAACCACTTCACTCGGGACTTGTCGGGGTTGGGCACGTCCGAGCACCAACCACCAACCCATGCATGGTCCGCCTGTTTGCCAGCTCCCGCATCAGATGCCCCCGTCCATGGAAGTGTGGGAGCAAATGGAGATGCCAGTGGGAACCTCTGGTTGAAGAGCTTCCCCAGAAGGATGGCCAGAGCACGAACCAGCTTCGGTGGCCTGCCCGAAGTGGTGCAGGCCTTCTTCCAGCTCCAAAAGGGCTGGAGGAAAGGTTTCGTCAATGGACACGCCGAAGTAGCCCATTGAATCCGGCCCAGGGCTTGTTCCACCTCCTTGCTGGTAAAGATGTCCCCCTGGGCCAGCCGTTTGAGAGTGGCCAGGATTATGACGTGCTTGACTGGAGCCAGCAGCACACAGGGCGTGATTGGGTCCACCACGAATCCCAACCAGGTATTGACCGGGGAGAGCGCCGTCTTCTTCCAAGAAAGCGGGACTCCCAGCGCCAGAAGAGTGGCCAGGATGGCTGTGGCGTCCCAGTCCGCCCTGCTGCATCTGAGGACCCAGCAGTAGTCGTCCACAAAAACTAAGTGCCAGTCCACCTGAGGGAAGATGTAGTACAAGAGTCTGAGCACCAAGGATGCCTTTCTTCCCCAGTACAGTTGTGCCGAGGCCATGCCGTACGTGCCCACTCTATTGACCCACCACCGGTTCTGGATGCAGGCCACCTGGTATTTCCAGTCTTTCTGGAGCACTTTTATGCGCCTGTGGGCCTTGGTGACATCCGCCTTGAGGATGATGAAGGTTTCCCCCTGTGTCGGCGGCTGCCACGTCAGGGGTTCCCCCCTGCTCCCCCCAGGGCGTTCCGTGCCTGGGGGGGTTGGGGGGAATGGGGCCCTCCTATCAGGGCCCTCGGCACCTGGGAGTGGCCCCTTTTCTGAGGGTGTTGACCGCGGAGAGACGTCCAGGCCGCCGGAGGTCTCCATCATCCGCCTGCCCCTATCAGGGCCCTCGGCACCTGGGGGCAGGCTGGTGCTGTGGGGGTCCCTCTCAGGGCCCTCGGCACCTGGGGACTGCCCCTGCACCGGCTGGTGAACATCCCGAGGTTCCTCATCAGTGCCCGAGGATGGGGCTCGGAGTAGATGAGGATGGTCCGCCGCTGTCCTGAGCCAGTGGATGGCATGGAGGCAGTCTCCAACCATCGGTGCGGTGGTCTTCTCCTCCGTGTGAGCCTGGATGTGTGCGTTTGCTCCCCCTTTTGAGCCATCATAGATCGTCCTGATCTTGTCCGACTCATCAATCCCTGCAAGGGGGCCCGGGCAAAGTTCCTCCGGTTTGCAGCGGCACCTCTCTGCCGCCTCGGAGCGAGTGAAGGGCCCGTCCACCATGTCCAAGGCTCGTTCCTCGTAAAAGGTTGATTCGATTTCCTTGGCAAAGAGTTCAGCCGTTGGGTAGTTATCATGAGCCACTGGCGGGGGGGGATCTTCCCCCAGCCAGGCTTCTCCCTTAAGCTCCTCCTTAGTGGGCCAAACTCCCGGGGAGGTCAAGGTAGGGTCCGAGACTCCCAAGGGGACCCCCTCTTTCAGTGTTAGGGGGAACTCCCAATCAGGGTCACCTGAAAGGGATGCCAAGTGCGACACTAAGTCCAGGAGGAAGGGTTGTCCTGGGCATCGTTCATGGAGGTGCCTCGGTCCTAGGATAGCCCGCAGCTCCTCGAGGTCGGCTTCCTGGAAGGGGTGTGTGGTGGCACCTGATGCCAGGGACATTCGGACCTTGTCAATCCAGGGCCGGGTAAGGGTCATGATCAGGGCGCCCAAAGTAGCCAATGGGGAAATTCTCCGAAAAGGGGGGTTGAGCCTCCCTGAAAAAGGTTTTCCCCCCCCATCCTTTAGGGGGCGTGAGCGGAAATTCCACGAGGGCTTACGGTGTCTGCCTCAGGGTGGAACTGCCCGTGCAGGCGGGGCTTCGGGGCGTTCTTGCTCCGGGCTTTGAGCCCTGGTGTGATGAGGAGGGACCGCCTCCTTGACTGGGCCCCCGTTTTCCCCAGGGGGAATGGCCTTCCGGGGGGTCCGACCCCCGCTTAGGTGGTTCCTTGGGGTTTCCCGGAAATTGTGAGGGGATCCGGATGTGCCCCGGCGCTGCGAGTGACACAGCGATGGCTTTGGCCAGGCCTGCCATCATATCCCAAGGGTATCTGCTAAGAGTCGAGGACTTGTTGGTGCCCACATGTGACTGATGCGTGCACCGCATTTGATCCCAGTCCTGGATCGGGAGATCCGTGGCCAGCGTAGTGGCCTTCTTGACCAGCTGGCCCAGGCGGCACTGGTCGAAGGAGATTGCTGTCAAGGAGTTCTCCTCCATCCAAAGCTGCCCCTCCTCTGTGATCCAGAAGGATGAGCATTCCTTGGCTTTGGGCAGCGAGCTGCTCACCACTGGGTCCTCCGGGTGTTCCAGGAAGGACCTGGGCCCTGGCAGAGAAACCGCCGCTCGTGAGGCCCTTGCCAGGCTGGTGATGTACATCTGTCTCAGAATGAGGATGCTGTCATCATCAAGTTGAGTCTGGGCGGCCTGGTCCAGGTGTGGAAGGCCCCAAAGTGTCTCTGGAGTGCGCCCTCGCACCGGGGTGGGAGCCCCCGGTTTTGGTATGTGGCGCAGGATGGACCATGTCCTGCAGTTGGGTCCTCCTCCAATGAAGACCACTCGGCCCTGCTTTGCTGCCGTGCAAAGAGCTCCATACAGCTCGGGTTGGAGCATATCGTGGTCCCCTTTGGGTCCAGACCGTAGGATGTCTACCGCCACCACCATGCTGGAAAGGTGTGGGTAGTTGGCATGAAGACAGCTGTCCAAGGAAGTTGGGTCTTCCTTGCCTGCATAGAGCAGGACAATGATGGGCCCACTGGATGGAACTTTGGGCGATGTGCCCTGTGTCCATCTCAGCCGCTGTACCAGACGCTCAGGGATGTTCTCCATCCACGGGAAGATGTCCAATCCCGGTGACGGCTCCGTTGGACTTGTCAGGGGGGTAGCTGAAAGGCGTTGGCCCCCTTCATTCAGCCCCACCGAGCTCTTGTGGAAAACCACCGGGTCCTGCTTGATGATGTTGGGCGCCGGAAGTGGGATCGGCTGCTTCCTGGGAGTGTCCCTTGGCGTTGCGGTGTGCTGCCAGTCATCCGGCACTCGGGCCTTCTGGGTGCGGCCCCCCGTGTCAGGGCCCTCGGCACCTGCGGGGAACCGTCCCGTCCCCGCCATATCAGGGCCCTCGGCACCTGTGGCTCGGGACTGAGGCGCCGCCGTTGTGCCGGTTGTGTGGCTGTTCTGATCACGGCGAGGGCGTTGTGCACGCTGGTTCTGCCGTCCCCATCCTTGTTCCGCCGAGGATGGCCGCCACCTGGCCTGTCCCCCCCCTGTGTCAGGGCCCTCGGCACCTGCAGGAGGGGGCTTCTGTGCCTGCTTGGGGCGTTTGCGCCCCTTCTCGCCCCCCCGGGCCTTATCAGGGCCCTCGGCACCTGAGGCCTCCCGGGGGGTAGGGGTCAGCGCCCCTAGTCAACCCGGGCAGTCCTGCGGGAGGTGGTCCCCCAGGCAGATGCGGCCCATTGCCAGGATGAGGTTGCACTTGTGGGTGCGGCCGCAGTGCCCGGGCAGCGCCCGCGCATCCAGTTGTTACAGAACTGGTTCCCTTTCGGGTCGGTGGCTGCCTGCTTGTTACCGCCCCGGGACGCCTGATTGTTCGGGTGGGGGGTCTTACCCTTCCCTTTGTTCCCAGGCTTGCCCTTGGACTTCCCCTTGCCCTTGGACTTGTTCTTGCCCTTCTGAGGTGGTGCGTAGTCCATGGATGTCCTGGTTGATGGGCGGCCCCTGGAAAAGGTCTTGATCTTCTCATAGACCTCACGTGTCCAGAACAATGTGTCCTGCCTGACCGACAGCATGGCCGCCTTGAGGGTGTTGCCCTCATGCATCTTCTCGTGAATCTTTCGCCATGCGTTGCGTTCGGCAATTGCCAGGACGTGGTCCT